TTGGTTTAGTTATAGTTTGGTATCTCGTAATGTTTTTATTTTTTGAATGAAGGTAGCATGTTCATATTAAAAAAAGAAAAAAACATGTCAATGAAGACTCATTAAGCATACAGTTTATTTGAATTTTTATATTATGCTAGTAATCCATAATCCAGTTTTCTAATAATCATGCATTGGAATTTATAGATAGTAACTAATTTTTAAATCAATACCCAAAAAGTAACAAACTGCTTCATTAAAATAAAGTACATTTAAGTTAAACCAAAAAATATATATTATTTAAGTTGTAAAATACTATTAAAATGCACAACATACAATAAAAAAAATTAAAATAAATTTACCATTTTGTTCGAAAAAATTATCATTTCAATAAAAAATACTATTAAAATGCCCAACATACAAGATATAACTCATCAATCCTGCCCAGCTAGTAGTAACTTAAAAAAGGCAAGCTAAGATCCGGTTCACCAATTTTTCAGTCAAACCGGTGGGTCTTTTTTCCCCCCCTCTCTTGACAAGAAAGCCAATTTATATTCAAGAGTTATTGAGAAAATTTCCTGAACATAGACCAGGAATACAAAGAATTAGTAAATTTCTTAAAGTTAAGCGCAATAAAAAAAATAAAAATTGGGAAATAAATTCAGCAAATGAAGTAAATTTAAAAGGACAGGGTCTTAAGGTATTTACTTTGTGCATCTCAAAGTCCAAGGGTTCTACCAATTGTCCTGGATCATATGGTAAAATGTTGACATTTTTTAACAAGAGATGTCGAACTTGAATTCCGTACATGTCTGAGCCAAAGACTTGAAACAGTGGAAATCGCAAAAAAAATAAAAATAAAAATAAATAAATAAATAAATAAAATCTTGGAGCTACTATTTGTTAAAGTCAGCAATTTTGACGCGGGTTAAATAAATTTAAAAATTTTTTAAATTGAATTTAGTAAAAGGACATATTTTTAATGTTTGACTCAAATAGGTTTGACATTTTTTGACACTTGAATTTGAATTTGGTACAAATATCCAAATAGTATTTAATTTTTCAAAAGTAGATAAATATATTAAACACTAATTATTCTTTAAATTTTAGCTTATTTTTTTACCAAGGAACTATATATTTGAAGACATTGTTATATATATATATATTTTTTTTTGAAAAGTAAGAATGTTAACATTATTATATTTTTATTATTTTTAATCTATAAAATAATATTTAAAATGTGTTTTAATATTATTTTTAAAATTTAGGACCCAAATTGTTTAGACAAATTAAACTGACTTTTTTTTTGAAAAATAAAAAAAATTAACAAATTGAGCATTCAAGCTAGTCTAAATAAATTTAAAACTTGAGAGTATTATGATTAACTTGGACTAGGTTTGGCTAAATACAGACTTATTCAAGATCAACGTGGATCCAAATAAATCTAAATAAATCTTATGACATCTCCTCCAAGCCATACCGTCATGGACAGGGGATATGCATGTGGTCAATAAATTATATGCTTTATATAAAATGAGAATATTAAAAAGAATAAAAAAAACACTTATTAAAAAAATAAAAATCTTATCTAAGATTGGTATATGCGATGCATCGAATATTAAAATCGATTTGATTGATTTAATCAAATATTAATCAATGTCAATATTAACTATGAATTTACAATCATTAATCACTTAATATGTTCATATTGGTGCAAAATTCTTTTTTGGCCTAAACATCGATGTAAAACGTTAAACTTATAATAAATCATATTATTTGTACACTTCATTCACCATACTCGCCGGCATAATTACCTTCCTTTCTTGAAAATTTCTTTCTTGTTATTAAAAAGAAAAAAAAAAGAAAGTCACGAGGAAAAAGACTTTACAAGACCGAAAGGGCTAAATGGCCCATGGGGATAATGCTTCGGTCAACCTAAACCTTTGAAATTTAGAAAAGCACATAGGAATCCAATCAACTTGATGCATCCTCAATTTTTTTTTTTTTTAAAGGTCTCCTTCTTCAATTTGTCGTTTTTGGTTTTTTGGATTGAGGGTGAAAAGTATATGGGTGGCTCCAATCCATTTAAATATCTAGTTGTTTTTTTGTAATATATATGTATACTTACAATATTTCTTTTCAATTAATTCAAACAAAAACAAATAAATGTTAAATATAAATATAAAAAAAATCATAATTTTTAATTTCTATATTTTATTTATGTTTTACTATATATTTTTATATTTTTTCTAAATATAAATAAAACAAAAGTAAAATGTATGGATTAAAAATGATATTTTTTAAATATAAATACAAAATAACAACAACAAGAGTTAATTATATAATAAAAAGATATATAATAAATTCATGTGTTATAATTTGATTGAAAAAATGTATATCATATACTTTTTTTATTAAAAAATATGAAGCATTTTTAAAAGTTTTGAATGTTTAAAAAATATAAAATATTTTTAATTTTTTAAAGTATAATTAATGTTTTTTTAGAGTGCTTCTAATAATAATAATTTTATATTTATTATAAAATATTTAATAAAATAAATATAAAAAATTTAAAAATAAATAATTATTTTATTGAAAGATAAAATTTAATTAAAAATATTTTATATTTTTAAATAAAAAAATACATGAATTTAAGTATAATTATTTCATCTTACACTCTTTATGAGGGTGTGAAAAGAATAAAACGAAAAGTTGCAAAATATTGCAGTAGCGACTGACTGCTGACGTGATTAAGCGGAACTTAGAAGAGCATAGTACATGACCTAACCACTGACGGAAAAGTCATTGTGTGTTGACTTCTGTATCCTAACACTCCACCTCATGCTTTCATAGTTTCATTTGGCCTTAATAATTCCTTTTTTCTGTCCCCTTTTAAAGACCGGTATTAATTATTATAACACTTCTTGTGATGTAATTTGTGGGTGTGTTATCATACGATATTAAGATGATCGAAATTTTCAATTTCGACTTGTTTTTTATTTTTAAAATCTGAAAATGACACGCCTACCTGCTCAAAAGAAATATGATTTTTTTCCCCTTTTAATTTTGGCCTTGTGGGCCCACAAAAGGTATCCATGATTTAGATTTAAACAAAACGACATTTCTGACCAAAAAAATGAAAACACACCAAACGACATTGGACAAATGGCAGTCAATTAATTAGCTTTAAGTGAGGGGATAATAAAATAATGCGTAAACCTTAAAATGTCACAAAACTATCAACTGGCCAGAGCACCTAAATAGAAATAGTGATCAATAAAAACATTGCCCACCCAAAAAAAAAAAAAATTGCATGAGGCATCCAAGGTTAGGGGTAGGAAAATGACAAAAAATTGAACATTGGAAATCCGTAATTAGTATATTGACCTTAAGGGGCAGCTACATTGTACTTCCACGAGCTAGGATTTGATTTAAAAATTGGCTCACAAACTTCTAAAACATTACAAAATGTTTCTTTAAATCCCGACGCACATGAACATTTGCATAATTAATTATAAAATCATTACAAATTTACAAGAAGTCATTTTTGGAATTAATGACGATTGACGATTGGATTGAATGTCAACATGGTTTTAACATATTTTAAGGATGATCTCAAACTGAAGCACAGTGCGTGAAAAACTCACGTTCGAATCTTTGTCTCAAAGGAGCCTGATTTGGGTAATATTTGACTATGATAAACATAAAATAATAAGACAGGGTTACGTGATATTTTGTACCCAGCCAGATTTAACTTATGAAATTTTATTTTGCATTGGAAATATAAATTTTTCAAGTAATATTACAATTCAATGCGTAACTTAATTAGAAAAGTCATTTTCCATCCCCAAACATGAAGGACCAGTCAGCACATGGTGGCACGCTTTTGGAAGTAAAATGAAATAATGAAATATGTGACATGTTTATCTTATAGTATTTTTTTTTTATTGCTACGCAAAAATCACTTCTTTATATCAAATAGTAGTTTACTTGGCAGACATAATCTTAATAAAAATATCAGATGGCTGGTGATTTTTTTGAAGATAAAATAAAGCTTGATATTGACGTATAAAAAACCAAGATACAAAGACACGGTAAATTGATTATTCTTAGACGGACAATGGTGGAGCATTTGTCCATGGGCAATAGTCGTCAAGGGAGGTCAATTTACATTAAATAAGAAAGTTAAAGTGCTCTATTTTCCCCTTGTATTTCCTTTTAAAAAGTATTGGATATTTTATATTAACAAGTGATGTATTTTTTTTTTCTCAAACAATTTTTTAGAGAAGAAAAATCCCCCTCTGTTAGGAACCATATGCTAATAAGTAGAGTTTTTTCCCTTTAAATCATTCTTTAGAGAAGAAAAATCTCCTTCCGTCCACTAAAAAGTAGTTTGGGGAGAAAAAGTCATCCTTACTAGTATACGCCGACGACACTTCTCAGAAAGAAAGAAATTCCAAGATGCTCAATACTCTTAAAAAAAAATTTAAAAATAAATTAATATTAAAAGACATGAAACATTGATACAAAACCGTAGAGTTAATAGTTATAATGGAAGGGAAGGAGATTTTTTAATAAAAAAATAATTTTAAAAATATTTTATTTATTAATACAGGTTCCCAACATTAAAAAAAATAAATAAAAAAAATAACAATAAAGAATTATTAAAAAAATTTATATTAATTAAAGATTAATTATTATCAAAATTTAAATAAAAAAATTTAATAAATTATTATTAATTTAGAATAAGTTATTATTAAAATTTGAATGATATTTATTGATAAAATATTAATCTAAATTATAAATATTCATTTAAATTTTAATAAAAATAATTTTTAAATTTTAATTGATATAAATTTTTTTTAAACTATCTGTTGATTGATATATTTTATAAAAAAAATACTTTAAATTTAAATAAAAATATTTGATTGGAGAAATATTTAGAAAGGAAGAAAGATCTTTTGTTGTCCTTTTTATTTGGGTCAGGGAAAAGAAAAGCAGATCAATCAAGCTTCGAGAGGGTAGTCGGACATACACATACTCACTCCTGTAAAGAAGACACCCAATGAATGCCAAAAGTCGCTCAACAGTACTGGCGATCCACTGGGCACCAACGCTTTTCCATTACACTGCCCGGCCAACCAGTCAACCCCACCCCACACGCGCATTTCGTCTTACGCTTCGCATCGCTTCTCTCTTCTCTCTTCCCTTCACTTCCACATTCCAGAAGCTCCGGACATGGCTGGTGCTGATTCTGCCTCACTCCATCAGCCCGCTCCCAAGCCTTCCAAGCCCTTCGCCTGCAGAAAAACCAACGTCTACACCCTCGTCGTCATCCTCTGCGTCATCTCTTACCTCCTCGGCTCCTATCAGAAGGGAGGAGCACTCACCTCCACCGCCACGATCACCACCACCAACGTCCTCAATGTCCCGTGCCCCAAAACCTCCTCCTCAGGGAACCACCGCCTCGACTTCTCCTCCCACCATAACGCCACCGGTCTGGCGGCCGAGGGAAGCGAGGTGAAATATTACCCCCGGTGCGGCGTGGAGTACAGCGAGTACACGCCGTGCGAGGATCATGCCAGGTCGCTGAGGTACAGGAGGACCAGGATGATATACAGGGAGAGGCACTGCCCGGAGCGACAGAAGGGGGAGATACTGAAGTGCCGGATTCCGGCGCCGTCGGGGTACCGGAATCCTTTCCCCTGGCCGAAGAGCCGGGATCTGGCGTGGTTCGCGAACGTGCCTCACAGGGAGCTGACGGTCGAGAAAGCGGTCCAGAACTGGATCCGGTTCGAGGGGGACCGGTTCCGGTTCCCTGGGGGTGGAACCATGTTCCCGAAAGGAGCGGACGCATATATTGACAACATCGGAAAGTTGATTAATCTCCGGGATGGCTCCATTAGGACTGCGATTGACACTGGCTGTGGGGTAAATCTGCCCTATCCTTTCCTTTTCCTTTTCCATTGCTCACTCTCTCTCTCTCTCTCTCTCTCTCTGTCTCTGTTTTTTTTTTTTTAAATTACGTCAGAAATGGCTTATTCACTTTCTTACTTTTCAATGCAAGCTGGTCATTTTATGCTTTTTTTTTTGTGTGTGTCATTTGTGTGTAATTTATTTAACTTTTTAACATCGCAAAGTAATCGCTACTGCTTTCAAAAGAATAAAATTGAAACAAATCTATCTGTGCCTGTATCATAATTAAGAGAGTAAACTTACGTTAAAATTATTAAATAGCAAAATTAGTGTTATGCAATATTACTATAGACTATAGTTCAAAGTTCAAACTTAAAATTTATCTCCTGTTAATTTGTAACTTCTATAAATGAAATATGCAACCGAATAATCAATTGATAAGTGAAAGCAATTTTCCTTTTTAAGAATCACGATGTCTTTTAACTTTACTCGGGACGGTTGACTTTTCTACATTCTTTCTTCTTCTTGGTTTTTTTTGTTTTTTAACATTCTTTCTTTTTTACTTCTTCGTTAACAATAATATATGCTCGTACACTTCTGTCTATATCATAACTTCTTAAAGCCTAAATTTAATAATTTTGTTTATAGTAGCATCTTAATAATTTAATAATATATGCTCATACACTTCTGTCTGTTTATTTTTTAAATTAGAAGATGTGGTAGCATCTTATCCCTTTTGTTCACATCCGGGGTAGGCATTTAATGTTTTTAACAGGCTTATTTAATGTATTTTTAGTTGAGAACATGATTAAGAAATTTTTGAAATCGAAGACAATCTTATTCATTGTATCATTTTTTTTTCCCCTCGAAGCATTTTCAAAGCTTTGCACTTTAGAATATGGTTCCGAAGAGATGTAGGCGGCCGTCCGCGCGGGTATGTATGTGTGTAAATTTGGTTTTTGGGGGAACTTTTATTGCAATACATAGTTTTTTTAAAAATCCTTTCTGATGAAAATTGCTATGAAGTATAAACAATTCAATAGAGTTGCTCCTTCAGAGTCCTGCGTCTCATGCATGAGATCCACCAAGACATTTATATATATGGGCATTGTCTCCATATTTACCGTTTATATTATGAGATAGAATTTTAAAAGGACGAAATTAGTGATAAAAAAGTTTTAAAAAGAAAGATCTTGTTAGTACCTATAATCAAGAAAATTCTTTTTCCTTCCCTTGTTTTCTGTGGTGCTATTCTACTTAAAACAGTGGCCCATAGAATTCCGGAAGTGCAAAAAGTTTGACCGGATTTTGGAGATTCTAACTTTAAAGCTGTATTCAATTAGAAATGCATGGTGTGGGTGTGATTAATATGTAACAATTCTATGGGCCTCCAGATGTCACTTACTCAGCGATATTATATTTCCTCGTTGACAATTCATATGTCGCTATCATTTATCAGACATGACACTGTCTCTTAACTGATCCTGGGTCACCAGTCCATTTTTTTGTTTTCATGCTATGTTTACAGAAGAAGACTTTCTATTTCTAATAAACTCAGGCGTTTGTGATCACGGCAAACTGTGGGGCCTTCTACTATATAATCCGTTGTTTTCCTCTTTAAAATGCATGATTTGATGTTAAATCTAATCTGAATTGCTTGGGTTCTATATTTAGAATTGAGTTGCCCGTTGTATTAAAAAACAATATCAAGATTTGATAAAGCTTTGGTGAAAACAGGTGGCTAGCTGGGGAGCCTATCTTCTTTCTCGTGACGTCATAACAATGTCAATAGCACCAAGAGATACGCATGAAGCACAAGTACAGTTTGCTCTTGAGCGAGGAGTTCCTGCATTGATTGGTGTGCTAGCCTCTAAGAGGCTGCCTTTCCCTTCTAGAGCTTTTGACATGGCTCATTGCTCTCGCTGCCTCATCCGATGGGCTGAATATGGTATTCTCACACACCATACATACAATGGCCATCTAAACACTTCTACCATAACATTGTGTATGAGAAATATAGGCATAACAATAATCCGTATATTTCTTAACTAGTTCTTTAAGTCACTGCTTTTGACTGGCTGCTCGCTTTAGACTCATTTAAACGGTTCTAAATGTATTGTAAATGTTTTAGCCCGTCCAATGTGAACAGGTTAAACAAGCTTGGCTAACAGGTCTAGGCAGGTTGTGGTCATGCTACATTGCTACTTATAAGTTAAGGAGCAGCATGAACACGGAACACCGACATGTGAAACAGTTCCTTTGTAGAAAGTATTGGTACTTTATAGGTTGTAGGCCTCCGGGGAAAAAAAATATTACAGAGAACTATAAAGATTTATGCTTGTAATGATGTATTTTTTTGCCCCTTGGTAGATGGAGTTTATCTCAATGAAGTTGATCGATTGTTGAGACCTGGCGGGTTCTGGGTTCTATCTGGGCCTCCGATCAACTGGAAGAAACACTGGAAAGGATGGGAAAGAACGAAGGAGGATTTGAATGAAGAGCAGACCAAGCTTGAGAATGTAGCTAAAAGCCTTTGCTGGAAGAAGGTTGTGGAGAGGGGTGATATTGCCATCTGGCAGAAGCCCAAAAACCATTTGGATTGCAAAGCCAATCGTAAGCACACCCAAGATCGCCCTTTCTGCCAGGCTGACGACCCTGACAAAGCCTGGTTTGTGTTTCGATCTTTTAATCTCTCTGTTTCTTTGCTCCTAAACTATGCATTTAGCATTTGTCCCTGACAAGGCCTGCCAAGCTTTGTACTATGCATTTGTCCCTCCCTAGGTCTGGCCTTGTGATTCATTTTCCTACTGTTTGTGCTTGTTTACTGCCGAGCTATATATTTTGCATTTGACTCTTACAAGGCCTGATTTCTATTTTATTTTTACCATTGTCTTTCTTTGCTCCTCCGCCGTGTGTTTGTCATTTGTCCCTTGTTAAATTCTTTATATTAAGTATATTTGAGGGCAGTTTATTTCACTAAGATAGCTAAGTATTTGGTTAGACACACTCTTAAGCTTTATATATTCCTAATCCATCTTCTAATTACTAGATGTATGATTCTTTATTTCTAATATTCCCTTTACCACTTTTCCTCACTATTTTTCCCCCATTTTTTCTTCTTCTTGCTTGGGTTTGTATTTTTTTAGAGTCTCAAAGGGTAACAAAACCCTATACTTTCCATTACAAAACCAATAAGCCTGAAAAAGATGGATTATTTTGTGAAAGAATTTTTGGGCCTATAAAAAGTGGGATTTGTACCTGTGGGAATTATCAAGAAGTTGGAGGTAAAAAAGAAGACCAAAAATTTTGTTAACAATGCAAAGTAGAATTTGTTGGTTCTTGGATACAGAGATATCAAATGGGATATCACGAATCTTTTAGATAAATCTCTTAAAGAATTAGAGAGTCTAGAATGCTGCAGGGCCTCACATCTATTCAATTTTTTTTTCTTCTTCTCTTTCCCCCTTTTTTTTTTCAATCTTTCATTCTTTTCTCTCTCCCTCCTTTTCTTGTTTTTTTTTGTCCCTGGCTCATGATACCATGTTAAACTTTTTATTTATATTAAGTATGCTTAAGGATAGTCTATTTTTCCAAAATAGCTAGCTATTTTGTTAGACACACCCTAAAATTTAGATATTCTCAATCCATCTTCTAATTACTAGATGTAGGACTCTTTATCTTTAATATCCCTGAGAAGGCCTGTTTGCGTTTCATTTTTCAATTGCTTTTACTGGTTCGACGCTGAACTATGAAGTTTGCACTTGGCTTGTCAGAGGTGATAACGATATGATCAAATTTCACATAAAGTGCTTTAGATTTTACGATAAAACTTTTCATTGGCATTAACTTGATGACAAGACTTGGTTTATGTTTTATTTTTTTAATTTCCGTGCTTGTTTGCTGCTAGACCATGTATTTTCGAATCTGTTTTATAATCGATTGCCATGATCAGGTACACAGACATGCAACCTTGTTTGAGTCCGCTGCCTGAAGTGTCTGGAAGAGAAGAAACTGCAGGAAGGGCATTGAAAACTTGGCCTAAGAGATTAAATGCCATCCCGCCAAGGATATCCACAGGAACCGTTGAAGGAGTTACGGCTGAAACATTCAAGAAAGATTCAGAGTTGTGGAGGAAAAGGTTGTCATATTACAAGAAAGTGAACAGCCAGCTAGGAAAACCTGGGAGATACCGGAACCTTCTCGACATGAATGCCTACTTGGGTGGATTTGCTGCTGCGCTTGTTGATGATCCAGTTTGGGTGATGAATGTGGTTCCTGTCCTGGCTCAGGTTAACACACTTGGAGTAATATATGAACGAGGATTAATTGGAACATACCAAGATTGGTGGGTTCAAAAATTCCTGATCGTTTCTGTTCAATGTAGTTTTCTTAACCTCTGTCTCTCTTTTCTGTGTTCTTTCTAAAGCGTTCATGGCCTCTAATTCTTTGCAGGTGTGAAGCAATGTCTACTTATCCTAGAACTTACGACCTGATTCATGCAGACTCCGTATTCAGCCTTTACAACAACAGGTTGGTTGACAAGTTCTATTTTTCAAGACTATTATTGTTTGAGAAGCAATGGCATTGGCTTTGAAGTTTTAAATTTTTAGACCAAATCAAGTCACTGAATGCAAGCCGAAAGCATGTTATGATGAGAGAATTGAAAAAAACTTCAACCAAACTTCTGAACAAAATTTTTTTGAAGAAAATTTGATTTATTATTTATAAATCGATTTTAAGCCATTACAATCAAGGGACGAGAAATAATCACTCACCTCCACGTTCTCTTCTTTTTGGTGATTCTGTGCTTTATTTGCGAACCAAATATATATAGTTACTGATAATGAGGTGGATGTGGTGGTGTGTAGATGTGAGATGGAAGACATAGTGTTAGAGATGGATAGGATGCTTAGGCCAGAAGGAAGCGTGATAATTAGGGATGACGTGGATGTGTTGCTCAAATTAAAGAGGATCGTCAGTGGAATGGAATGGGGCTATCAAATTGTGGACCATGAAGATGGCCCTCTTCATAGGCACAAGCTCCTTTTTGCTGTCAAGAAGTATTGGACTGCCTCTTCTCCTTCTCGCCATCGCTAATTCTTTCACTCTTAATTTTCTCTTTTCTATATATCTCCTCTCTTCTTATTTATTCCTCTTCCTCTCTCTCTCTCTCTGTGGAATCAAGAAACAAAAAAAAATTTGTGATGACAAAAAAAAAAAAACCTAATTCAGTTTAAATGTGCAGTTCTTTTTCTAGTATGATCATTGATAAAGATGCTTTTGTTTTATATTGGAGACATGACTCAACAGCCCAATCATTGCATTAGCTTTAAAAAACCAGAGTACATTACTTTGCTTTGAAGTTCTTCAATAAAATTAAATTGTTTTGTTTAGCAATATGTTTAGTTACAGATGATGAAATTAAAAATAGATGGGACACTTATTTTTCTAAACTTTTCAATGATGGAGAGGATTCATCTAGTAACTTGGAGGATTTAGTAACTGGTGAAGGAGAACAAAATTTGTCATTTTATCGAAAAATACGTGATAAGGAGGTAAAGGAAGCTCTTAAGAAAATGGCAAATGGTAGAGCTAACGGACCTGATTGTATATCTATCGAAGCGTGGAAATGTTTAGGTGAAGAAGGGGTGAGATGGTTAACTAAGTTATTTAATGTGATTTTACGGTCCAAGAAAATGCCTGATGAGTGAAGGAGAAGTACATTAATTCCTATTTATAAAAATAAAGGAGATATTCAGAATTGTACTAACTATAGAGGAATTAAACTCATGAGCCACACAATGAAATTGTGGGAGAAAGTAATTGAGCACAGGTTGAGATTGGAGACAAGTATTTCTGAGAATCAATTTGGTTTTATGCCAGGTAGATCAACTACAGAGGCGATTTATCTACTAAGGGGATTAATGGAAAAGTATCATTGTAAAGATAAAAATCTACACATGATTTTTATTGATTTGAAAAAAGCTTATGACCGTATACCAAGAGAAGTGCTTTGGAAAGCGTTGGAAAAAAAGGGAGTACGGATTGCTTATATTAAACCCATACAAGATATGTATGAGGGGGTAAAAACTAGTATAAGAACGCCTAGTGGTCAAACAAAGGATTTTCCTATAAAGATTGGACTACATCAGGGATCATCTCTGAGTCCTTATTTGTTCAACTTGATTTTAAATGTTTTGACGGAACATATTTAAGAGGAAATCCCGAAATGTATGCTCTTCGCGGATGATATAGTTCTTATAGCAGAGATAAGAGAAGAGGTTAATTGCAAACTTGAGTTATGGAGGAGGACATTGGAGTCGAAAGGTTTTCGTTTGAGTAGAAGTAAGATGGAATATTTATATTGTAAATTTGGTAAAGGACTATTCGAAAATAATTTGGAAGTGAAATTGGGAGATCAAATTATACCTCAAGTGGAAAAGTTTAGATATTTGGGAGCCATTATTCAAAATGATGGCGAAATCAGTGGAGATATTTCACATAGAATTCAAGCTGGGTGGTTTAATTGGAGAAAAGCTAAAGGAGTTATTTGTGACCATAAGGTGCCTAATAAACTTAAAGGAAAGTTTTATCGTACTGCTATCAGACCGGCAATGTTATATAGTAGTGAATGCTGGGCTCTAACGGGACAGTAAGAGCATAAAGTTGGAGTAGCAGAGATGAGAATGTTACGATGGATGTGCGGACATACACGTAAAGATAAAATTCGAAATGAGCACATACGTGAAAAAGTGAGGGTGGCACCTATTGAGGAAAAAATGATAGAAAATCAGTTGAGATGGTTTGGGCATATACAAAGAAGACCAAGGGAGGCACCAGTGAGAAAAGTGGAACATATAACTTTGAGTCCGATTAAGAGAGGTAGAGGAAGGCCTAAGAGAACACTCTTGGAAGTTGTTGAACGTGATCTCTTAATTAATAATATTTCTAAAAGCTTAATAAATGATAGAGTACAATGGCGTCTTGCAATCCATGTAGCCGATCCCACCTAATGGGATAAAGGCTTGTTGTTGTTGTTGTTGTAGCAATATGTTAGCATCACGTGATGATTCTTAGAAGTTGATAACTTTGGAGTTGAGTTTTTTCATAAGGCTGTTAGGAAAATATTCCGTTGAAAGTAGTAATGTCGATGGATAGTTGTCTGGGTTCAACCAAAAATGATGTTTGAGTGGACCTTGTGTCTCAGTTTGGTAGGCTGTAGCTGCTGTGCTGGTTATCTTAATTTTCTGGGTTTCTTCTGTTGCCTCACCTAAAATATTGAATATAATAAAGACAAAATATGTGTTGACACAATGAAGGCAGCAAGAAAAAATTACTTCCTCAAGTCCCATAAAGTAGAGAGAATAATTTTTTCTTATTTATAGAATTTTGATTAAAAAAAGTAATTTTCATTAAATGTTAGTTAGGGAAAGTGTGTTGTTAAAGTATGTATATTTAATGAAGGTGGGGATTTGTTAAATTTTTAAGCAGTCAATGAATTAAAAGGGTTTCCTTGATTTTTGCAAAATATGTTGAGGGTGTTTTATAAATAGAATTGAAAGAAGTCCTTTTGAATTTATATATAAGAAAAAATAATTGTATTATAATTAAAGAAAACTGATTAATGATAATAATTATGTTTTGAAATAAAAAATTAAACTAAAATATTCTTTTATTTAATTAAAATAAGGTTGCATTAATTGTTTCTGGTGAAAGAAAATTATGAGTTTAAGGGAGGTGATTTTAAAAAATTATAATATATATTTATTGAGATATTTAATTTTATTTATAAATAAAAATAAAATAACAGGGGACAGTTTTCATAGAAACTGATGGAGTATACTAATAATATGCATGGAAATGAATGTTGAAATGAATTCGTGTCAATTGGCAGGGTGGGAAGTGAACGAAATAATCGAGGAGACGTGGTAGATGAATTCCTCACCAACCAGTGTTTGATGTGAAACTCCAACATTTTGTTTTGGTGAGGCAAAGAGTATAACAATGAAATGCTGTGTTTAAGTTGAGCAAATGATCCTAAAAATATGGGAATAGGGTACTGGAGAAGATTAGTCATAAATTGAATGGGATAATCTAAAATGAGTCAATTGAAGTGGAAGTACAGAAGATGAGAGTTAAGTGGCAGAAGAGGTTTGCATAAATAAAACATTCGCAAGACGCACGACAGAACGTTTGTGCCAAAGGCTGTCACGTGGATGAGATTAGCGAAAGCAAGGTGGTGGCGGTTGGGTGAAATATGCATGGCACATTAATTTGATACTCAACCCACTTTTCAATCTCATCATCAAGAGACACATCATTGGCATTTATTTATGAGCATCCTGGTTGATGGAGATGGACGTTCATTTATATTTATATTTATGTGTACTGTACATATGCTTCTTCATAAAGCTTCCTAATGCATCCCTATCACCGGCTAAACTAAACCAACTTTAATTATTATTTTTTTAATTTTATTTATAAATTACTTTTAACATATTTTAAATATCAGTATTAATAATAATTTTAAATCTTATTAACTCTATTTAAAAATTTAATAAACTTTTAATTTTACCTTTATTAAATATACATACTTTAATAACATACTTCCTTAAATTTTATTTATAAAACATCTTTTAAAAATAAATTTTGATTTAAAATATAGGGCACATTGTAATAATTAAATTATTTTTTTCAAAAGTATTTAATATAATTTTTTTATAATTCAAAATTAAGGATAAAAATGAAAGTACATCTCACTTTTTTAGGATATAAAAAAAATTAAATTTTCTTAATATACATGAGATAGTTGAAAGTGTTTTATACTAAGGATAAGAAGAAGTATTTTTTCTTTATAACGTTCAATAAAAAATAAAAAAGGAAATTTATGATTAAAATTGAATAAAGTGATTTATAAATGATATCAAAAATATTATTTTTTTATCCTATAAATAAAACCAAATAGAATATATAATAATTCAACTTAGGTGACACAAGCTTAGCTTCCGTTTAAATAAAAGCCCTTCCTAACATGAAAGCTCTCCATGCCTTTGTTTTCCACACTTATTTGTGGCATTGATTGCTTCATTCTTCAATGCTACTTGGTAAGTGACGTCAATCAATATGCTGTCCATGAAGCGATAAATGCTCTACGCTAGCGTCCTAACCGTCAAATGAATGTTTGCGTTTGTTCATTGTTCTCCATAATCAATATACATTTCCCAACCTCTTTCTATATTTATATATACAGAGTGTGTGTGTGTGTGTACGTCCGATCTTATCTTCAATTCGGTTCAGGTTTAGCTTTCCTTTAAATAAAAGCTCTTCCTAACATGGATCTCTTTGTGCCTTTATTTTTCACACTTATATATAGGGTCGGTAATTTGAATTAACTTGAATAAGGAAAAAAAATATTTATCTCTTTATTTTTCACACTTATATACAAAGCTAATAATTTAAGCTAACTTAAAAAAGGCAAAAAATTATTTAAGTGGAGCTTAATAAAATAATTTTTTAATGTTCGAGTAGCCTAAAAAATTTTAGGCACTCGACTTTTTCTTCATTTTTAAAAATATATAAAATATATAAAATATTAATTAATTTTTTAAATTTTATGTCCTTTTATATTAAGATATCATATATTTGAGTATGTTGTTTTAGATATTTTCTTAACAAAATAAAAATACTTAAATCATCATTTTTGTCTGGGAGAATAATAATAAAATTTTTTTGAATTATGTAAATGACATTTTGATGTTTTAAAATGTTAAAATTTTCATGAAGTTTTTGGAAATTTTTCTATCAGTAAGAAATTAATATAAATAACTAAATTACCTTTAATTCAAATATCAATTATCATTTATAAGTTTTTTTTTAAGACTCACAATTTTTTCTCTTAAAATTATAAAAATTCAATAGCAATTCGTAAGTTCTCATTTAAAATCTTGATATTTCTTAAGTATTACAAATATTAATCATCATTTACAAGTTTTATTGTAAGATTTACAACTTTTTTTAAAAATTATAAGACTTCAATAGCAATTTACAAGTTTAAATTCAGGACAATTTAATCATTTATATTAATTTCTTAAGAATATAAAGGGTCCTATGGACTTCAAAAAAATTATAGTATTTTAAAGGACTAAAATCTTATTTATATAATTTAAAGACATTTTCCGTTTTTATCATTTGTAATCTATAATATAAAACATATCAAATTAATATTTAAAATTTATTTTAATACCCATAATTTTTAAATTTTAAGACCCATAATTTTTTTATTAAATATCAATAAAAGAAAGTATATTATTATATATATATATATATATATATGTATATTTAATATGAATAAAGTTTGAAACTTATTAAATTTTAAAAAGATTTAATGATAAGTTTTAAATTTTTATTTCAATGAAACATGTTGAAAACAACTTATGGATAAAATTAGGAAGAAGTTCAGCTGGGTCCATAAGGAGAATATCTCCCTTTTGAATTAAAAAGTCTGATTAATTTATATGTTTTTTTGATTAAAAAATTACAGTTTTTGCATTTGCAATTTGAAACTACAAACAGGGTTCCCCCGCTTCCTATTTAAAAGGAAATTTTCATGTCACGATACCACAAGAGCAATGGTAAAAGTGAGAGTCTACATAAATTATGAGATACACACTCGCACATATATAGCATTTGCTGATTAGCGAGTAAAAGAAAATTAATTTTAATTGTTTCATTACAAATTTTAAAATTACCAACTCTGTCGCCTATTCCAGCCTCGGTCCGATGTCCATAAAAACCATGCATTAATATTCGGTCCGTATACAGTGTCAATTATCTAGCTATCAGTAATACTTCCTCAAATTATGAGACGTTTTTTATAGCTCTTTTTTGGCCAAATACTTTTATACTTACAACTATCAAATTTTAGCTATACTATTACCAACTTAATTTGTATATATTTCAAACACACTACTAAAAGAAACTTGAAGAGTAATAATCATCAATCATCACCTTGAAAAATGATTTTAAATAACTGAAAGTTTGGTGGTAACTAATGGATAAGAGTGTTTTCATCCACTCGCTCCAAAACTCAAGCCTTTAGGATATTCGAACATCTCAATCTCATATAAGTTTAAAAAAATGAAGTAAAAAGAAAAAAAGCTCACAAAAAAAAAAAAAAAAATCTCCTGCACATGGTAGAAAAGTAGAAAATAGACCATTCGCAATGAGTATAGAGGTGACTTTTGCATAGCGGTCGTTATAAATTTTGTATATAATAATATTTCATCATTTAACCAATCAAAATTTATTTATTGCTCCCATAGACTTTTCATGAATCATGATACTGATATAAATTTAAAAAAAAATCATAACTTTTGCAAGATTACAATTTATAATCTGGGGATGCAAAATTCCTTATCTTTAATTTCCTTCCCAAGTCCAGAGGCGAAGAAGCTGGACAGCAATGCAAAACTTGCACCAATAGGAAAAGAACATGGACGGCGCGTGTGGTGATCACGCTCTCTTCCATCGCGTGCTCTACTCCTCTTCATCCGCAAGCATTCAAATTCCCTGGCTATAAATTCCATTTCTTTCTCCCATTCCGTTACCTCCTTCCTTCAGAGTAGTAAATTCCGTCTCTTCTCACCCTCTCTGCCAATTAAATTCTCTCAATATGTTCCTCTTCGCCAGAATCCCGACCCTTTTGTCGGAATTCTCCACGCTCCGATGAGACATGGGTTTCCTCCGGAGACTTTTCGGCGGCAAAAAGCCGGCTCCTCCAGCAGGAGGCCCCCACAAGTCCGGCTCTGAACCTGGCAAGAGTAAACGGAGATGGAGCTTTGCCAAACACAGCAAAGACAAATCCCAAAGTGCTACTTCTGATCCCAACAGCATCGACCTTTCCACATCTTCGCTTCCATTCAGTGATTCCTTGAACGCTAATAAACATGCCATTGCAGTGGCTGCGGCGACGGCGGCCGTGGCGGAGGCCGCTCTCGCTGCGGCTCATGCAGCGGCCGAGGTGGTTAGACTCACTAATGGCGGCGGCGGTTGCGGTCCTAGTACAAACCAGCACCAGTGGCCGGAAGAGATCGCCGCCATTAAGATACAATCGGCGTTTCGTGGTTACTTGGTAAGTACTATTCCCGAGGTTGTGGGAATTTTTTGGCGCTTGGTTTTGCGGATTCAACTTTGAAGTTTGAATCATCATGTAGTCATAGCTCGTCTGCTGCTATTTTAAAATTTTTCTAGTTTTCTTTCGCGAAACAAACGCTAGTTGTGGTGGTTCCTGGTGCTTCTCCCTTTTATCACGTCTACTCACGTTTTGAAAGAAAAAAATTTAATATTTTTAAAAGTTACATACATGAATTTTTTTATTGACAAACATGACTTCGTGCTTTCCCCTCTTTTTGAGTTCAATATAAACATTTTATTATCAGAGACGAAAAAAATTGACGTCTTCATTACGATGGAAAATAATAATTGACGTCTTCATTACGATGTAAAATAATGTAAAAAAGAAACAAAAGGAGATGAGGGCGAGAATCATGACGCCCCACAAATTATACTTTCCTTTAGAGCTGAAAAAGTAGACAGTGCCTCTTCCCAAAAAAAAAAAAATCACCAAAAATAGGTCGGTCCTTTTAAATTAGATCTTCCATATAATTATATGGGATAGGACCGTGCAAGGAATTTTTTATTTACATTCGATTATATCATAAATATATATTTTTATAACGATGAAAGATAAATTGGTCCTGTGCAACTCGTAATGAACTGTCTAGCGGGTTATGGACCCGAGTTCTGGTTGTTAGGCTTGCCATAACAAAATGATGCATTAGGAGAGTGATGGGCAAGTTGGCAAGTACTCACTTCTTTTTCATCTTATTATAGGAAGTAGAAATACCGTCAAATCTTTTATGAAAAAACATGTACAAAGTATTGTTTTGTTTGGAAAATTTGAGGAAAATCAAGAGAGAAATTAGGAAATTTGAGTTTTTATATCATGTGAATTTTATTATGGTAGGGTATGAAATGTTATGTGTAAAATGAAGCTAATAAATGGTTGGGTTTGAAAGGCAAAGAGAGCTCTGAGAGCACTAAAAGCATTGGTGAAGTTGCAAGCATTGGTAAGAGGTCACATTGTAAGAAAACAAACAGCAGATATGCTGAGGCGCATGCAAACTCTGGTGAGGCTGCAGTCCCGTGCACGTGCAAGTCGCATGCAGTTGTCGCATATTCTCCATTCTACCAAGTCTCCACTCTCTCGACACCCTGTAAGAAATCATATCCTGTGGAATTTACATGTTTATAATCTTATCCAACGTTTCTCAGCTTGCTTTCATGCTAAGTCGGATCGTTAATTCGCATTATCGCAAATCAAAATGGTGCTTTGAGCATGCTCCTTTAACCTTAATGGTTTCGTGTTAATTGCAGGTCTCTGAACATTATGAGTCTTCACTCAGAGCCTCAAGTACCAAATTTGATGGGTCTCCTCTGCTCAAGGTACTCATAGACTGTATTGTGGGTTGCTTTGAATGACATTTGGAATGAAAAACATGAGCTTAGAGTAGAGCTTAAACGAGAACAAGTTTTAGTCTGAATCTATTAAATTTTATAGTTGACAAAGCTGGTGTCGGTCGACTGGTCTCTGTTTGTCCCTTAATAGGCATTTGCTTCTACGCTGTAACTTATATTCATCATCAGTTTTTACTGCGCAAGGAAAAAGAATCTATGAACAAGTTGAGGACTTCAACGTGTAGGCAGGTTCAACCATTACATTTCAAACATCCCTCCTATTGAGTAGCATTTTTCTGATTCAATTTGCAGAGATGCAGTTCCAATGCAAATTTTAGGGACATTGGCTCGGGGAGATCGAGGTTTGGATCGCAATGGTTTGACCCCTGGGTGGAAGAAAACGTTTGGAACCATCCTGGAGGAGATGACGAGAAGAGTGACAAAATTCTCGAAGTTGATACGTGGAAGCCACACTTGAACTCCCAGAACGAGAATCGTTTGCCGTATGAGTCTCCCTCAAAGCGTTCATCAACAAGAACTGTAAACCAAAGCATCTTCAGTTCCCTTAAGTTTCAGAAGCGAAAAGAAGAGAAAGCTTCAAGAGCTGCAGAGAACGGCAACGAATTCTCGGCCCATTCATATCAGAACAGTCCAGAGTCATTTTCTACTTCAAGAAGAAGGTCAGGTCCTTTCACACCCACAAGGAGTGAGTGTGGCTACTTTGGTCACCCAAATTACATGGCCAACACTGAGTCATCTCGAGCCAAGGCTAGGTCAGTGAGTGCACCAAGGCAAAGGCTTTGGGATTCTTGGAATAATTCAGACAGGCATGCTGATTTCAGAAGCCAATGTTTCACATCTTCAACTTCAAGCCGCTTCAGCAGAATCTGGAGTACCCATCTAAGGTGACACAATAAATTTCATCACTCAGTCCAACCCTTTTGAAGGAGGCATCAAATTTTATTCCTGATGGTGTTTATGTGCCCGAAATTTGGATCTTCTACGTTTTCTTCTCTTCACTTTTTGGTCAATTTCAAAGAGAGATAGACATAGAACATATGAAGCCCTTTTGAATTGTTTGATCCATTTACATATGTAAGATCCGCTTGAGTGATGGACTCTGTACATTCTATATCTATCTCTATCTAAAATTTACGGAGAGAAGGAAAGGAAGAAGATCCAAACAAAGATTTGAGAATATTTTACTAGTTTAAGGTTAAAAAAAAAAATTGTCTAACTTCTTTTTATTTGTATGTATGTGTTTAGTTTTGTCTCTCTATATTGTATAAGTCGTCTTTTTTTTTTCCTCTACTTTTTTGGGTGAAAATGGGAGAAGTTTGGGAATGTAATTATTTGACCTGCATCAGTGTAGCTTATGACAAAGAACAGAGTTGAGAGCGTTGATGTTATAAATGTATTGGTTCCTCCTACATTTTGACTGGTTTTTTCCTGAACTTGTTTTGGTTTTCATTTATGTTAATTGTTTCTTAATTTATTGATATTTGTTCGAAGCCTTCAATTTTTCTCCAAGTGAAGTAACAAATCAAAATAGGAGAGTGCCGTATGTCTTACCGTTGTCAACGTGAATTTCCCAAACGTGAGTCCTACTTCTCTCTGTATTTCTTGTCATCACTTCAGAGAAGGTTCTTTCAATTTGTCCACGACTTGCGTATGAAATGAACAAACAAACTCGAGAGAAAAACTCTTAACGTTTAAGTTCTTTAATGTTTTCCTTTTGCTGGAAAAAATACAGAGTATGTAATTCATATAAAGATGACAAGAAAAGACGTTATTTTTGCCTTTGGAAAAAAGACGTTATTTCTTTGGCTTGATGCAGATGGATCTGCATAGTATTCCTATCGCTACTGTATTGAGGGTGTTTTTGCTTTCGGTGGTCCATTGTGTGAGAAGGGAACGTGAAACAAAAGGATAAAAGAGAATGAATTCAAATACATGAAGTGACATTTGACACTATTATTCTCCTTGGATGCTAACCAAAGGTCCAAATTAATATAACTCAAGACCAATGGGTCACATGAACCTATTAAAGAGAATAAGTCACTCGTGGAATCTCGCAGATCTCACTCTTTTACCTCTTGTCTTGTCTTGTAGTTTATTCACATTCTCACATCCCTTTCTTCTTCCTTTTTGCTACTCTTTCCCCTCGTAAATCAACCTAACCACGTTTTGTCTTGTATTGCTTTTCTCAAGGATGATCATTTGCCTCTTATTGTGCCAAAATCATTTCAAGTATGATTTTTTCCTATGATAAAATTTAGGTGAATTAAATGCTAATAGTTTATTAAAATCAAAACATACTTCACAATTCAGAATACTTACATAATTACTTACATGTTCTCCATCAATAAGATGTTCATAGATTTAAAATCACATTTATATTTTGATTCTGATAATTGATGTGTTCCAATGTTGTGAGGAAGTAAGATTTCAGGTTATGCACTACAAAAATATTTATTCTCCCCGTATAATTATAAGGCATATTTTTGTACTCTTTCTATATTTAAAAATACAATGCATTTTATTTGGTGTTTTCTAAGAGTAATTAATGAATTTTTTTAAAGAATATTCTTAATGAATATTTAAAATTAATGATGTTTTATATTCAATTGTTCTCATCATAAAATGAAATATTCAATTGTAATTAATTTACTTTATTAAATGAGAATACACATGAAATGAGTAGACAATTTTCAATGATGCTAATTGTTTTTTTAGATGTAGAAATTTGATATAAATGTCTAATAATTTGGAATGGAGGGAGCTGTCAAAAATGCATGATATTTGGCTTCGAAATTATCTTATATTCTATCTAAAAGTTAGCAAGTACCAAGTTTAAACCAAACTTCAAAAAGTTTAAGTGAATTATGTGAAACTACTTATGCGAATAAAAAAAAGTAAGCCTTTAATCTGGAGGGAAACCATCTCTTTACCAAATGAATGAATGGGTTATTTGATCTGATTTGAATTACATGAATTGATGTGCTTAGTTAGGAACATTTAAACATACCTAAAATGGAAAAAATAAATTAATTAAACGAGCAAAAAGAGAGTGTCGGAAAAATTTGAATTGTCTAATCCTAAGAAGCTAGAATTCCGAAGAAAAGAGAAGGGGAAAATGAAAAAGGGAATGTGAGTGCGCATATAAATGTCATCTTTTGAGATTCTTAATCATGAATCACTAGTTTAATTGCCCTTCACGTGGGGATAGTCCAAAGTCTAATATTGAAAAGATGTTTACAATGGAAGAGGACACACAAAGGTGAATCCATCCTAAAAGAGTAGAACATAATATATATATTCCAACATTGAAATATTCATCAGTAATAGTTCTGATTCATTGAAGGAATTCTGAGATTGGTGTGTTTATCCCTAATCTACAAATCCAGCTATCACCAAACAAACAATAATTAACACCAACACAAAGTAATCCAAAGGTGGGGTATGTATCACAAATCAACGAAAGTTAGTTTCTTTATGAAAATAAAATATTTAATGAGTTCTGAAGTCAATAGCTCTTGTGCATCAAACTCATGTAATTTAAATTAAATCCCATAAGTTTAAAACATTAATGACTACCTGCAAATACCCTTCTCATTCTGATTTTTATGCTTCTATAGAATGCTGCATTTATATCATCAGACACAGAAAACATGTCAGTAGGATAGACTTCCTTCTATCTAAGAGGGAATAGAATTAGCTTAACTTCTCTGATTATCACGAGTAAAAAACATGTCACTTGTTGATTGTCCTCGTGTGTGCGCGTCCACTGTCCAGGAGGAGATTGAAATCCAAAAATAAAAAAAGACTCTGATCCCTATTAATCTTAGTACTAGCAAGACAAATTCATGATAATGACCCCCAAAAATATGATTACACTCGAGTGCACATAAACATGGCCTGAATCATTACGGCTAAGGACTTGAATCAAGAAAAAGTTGAATGTGATTAGACTAAAGTGTACCCTAAACCTAACCCCAAAAGAGAACTTGCAAACTGCAATCAGTGTTGGGGTCAATGGAGAATCCCAAAGAGACGCCACAGGAAGCAGGCAAGGAAGCCATGACAGTGGCATTAAGGTTGTAAGTGACAAGTAAGCCCATGAAGCATTCACACACACTTGTTCTGTTACAAGCACTGGTCAGTGCCATTTCCTTCAACCCAACTATGGCTTCACAACATGGGCTCGACACTGGAGGATCTGGTGGTGACCCATAGGTTATGAAGTTGGAGTAGCCTGACAAAAGTTGTGCATTTTGTGGCTCCCCTTGCTAATGGTAATGGGCTCATCCTCCACCACACCAACACCAGAACTGCTACACATATCATCTTCCAATTAGCCTTTGATGGCCTCATATTCATTATACTCCCTCGAACAACAAATCTGCTTTTTCTTAGCAAGTAATTTTTTTTAGCAGTAGGTTCTTTGAATATAAATATATATAACTATATAAGTGCTTCAATGATATACTTAAAGAATTGAGTTCATGTTCTTACAAGAAGAAGGGGATCAAGTTTGATGTTGCAAGAGAAATATTGGGTTGGTGTGCCATATGGAGCTTGTGGTTTCAGTCTCACCATGAGTTTTTAATGAACCTTTTGGTCAGATTCATCGTTCATTGGCAAACAGTTTTTTTTTTAATCTTTTGTTGATACTCAAAATTCAATATTCTAAATATTAATTGTCCTATCGAACGAGAATCATTAGGGTGTCGTGGTGTAGTTGGTTATCACGTCAGTCTAACACACTGAAGGTCTCCGGTTCAAGTCCGGGCGACGCCATATGTCTTATTAACTTATTTGTTCGGTTGTTCTGTTCTCTTTTGAAAAGGGCGGGACATGAGCCTATCTATGTTCAATTTAGGCCCGTATCATAAAATTCTTTTGGAATTGGGCTTACAGAGATGTCCGAGTTTGGTCTGGGCCTGAAGTAAAACTGGTTCGGACATTCTGAATTTGATTCGAATTAGCAAAAATGTCAAAATAGAAATATCAACTCGGTTATCAAAAAAAAAAAAAAAAAACAACAACTATTTTAAGATTAAAATTTTTTCACTCGTGTCGTTATCAATTTTAACTTTTAATTGGGACGTTTACCAAAAACCAATTGACGTGACAGTGATAAATTGATAACAGATCGGCCCCAAAAATAACAACAATAATATTAATATAACAAACATAATTAAAACTTTTCTTTATTAACATCTTACAAAACAAACGAAGGTCACAAATAAATTCTTAACGTAAACGCACATAATTGCTGTAAGATAAAGCAAAAGGCTAGTTAATGTTAAGTAGAAACCAAATAAAAGTTTTTGAGTTTGTATATAAGCTTAGATGAAGAGAAGTGCAGTAATATTCACGAGTCATTGCATTTCCATCTGGAAGTTGGGACACAAGTCAAGTAGTGGCACCAATGGCAGTGATCATAACCATTCTCTCCCTTGAATAGCATCACCGTTCCAATGCTTATCCTGCCATTTTCAATCATCACATTATAATACATGCAATGCACGGGATTTACATTAGTAACTGCATAGTATTAAAAATTGAATTAATCCAGCCAGTCGTTTTGACTAAATTAAATTGATAACATAGTATTGAAAACCAAATCAACCCACCCAATTGCTTTGACTAGTTCAATGACTAGTCCAAATTGATAGCTTAGTTAACTGATAACATGATCTGTGCAAAGGATTAGACAAAGAAGAAGATTACCCAAGAATGAGGAGAACAAAAGAGAGGATCCAGAGAACATATTGGTAAGGCTTGTATTTGGATTTGAGGCGTGCAGCAGAAGGAAGGTGGTGCTGTTCTACCCACCCAAATTGTGGACGAGGCAGCAAGATGAAACCCAGCAAGAAGCCTGTCATGAATCCACCTATGTGTGCAAAATTATCCACATGGGGCAGTATTCCTATCCCAAGATTTATGATTATTATCACCACCAGTGTCAACAGTGCTGCTGCCTGCATACAAACAAACCAAAAAATGCCACAAAGTTCAGATCTTTAATATTGAAGCTGCTAATTCAAGTGCCTGTGTTATTGGAATGGTTGTAATTCTACCTTGTTGGTGTAAATGGTCCAGTTTGTGATGAGTTCAGAGAGCATTGCTCCAAGGAGACCAAAAAGAGCACCTGAAGCACCGACTGATATGTTGTTTCTAATAAACAAAGAAGACAGCACGCTCCCTCCAAATCCAGACAACAGGTAAATTATTCCTATCTTCACTGCAAAAATTTCACTCAAACAAAAATGTTACCACTCAGTGAATATTATGCTAATGTTTCACTGAATCTCGTTAATGCAGAAAGCGAGATTATATGATACCAAACCCAAATTGCTGTTCAAGGCGGATCCCAATGAACACAAGGCTCAGCATGTTTGCAACTAAATGGATCACTCCAGCA